CGCTTTTTATATAGCCGGCATTCGTAAGATTTGCAGACGTGTTTGTTTGCATAAATTCGCGATATTACGTCCTACGTGTCTCGATCTCGACAAGAAGTCCGTTGCCAACAACCAAGGATCTCGAGTCAGTACAATATTACCAATCTCGGCAGTATCATTTGGTATAATATCGGTGATCAAGATCGGATTACTCTTACGCTATGTTCGATTACGCATGATTATGATTTCCATATATTTTTCACTTTTATCAAAATCAAATTTTAATGACAGATCTTTACGCAGACACGACGTACGAAATTGATTTTTTTTTATTACTGAAAATTTGTCATGCAACGACCTCTAAATCATCTCAACGTTAAATATTTCAGTTAATTTCGGAATCTTCGTTTGAATTAAAAAAGTTAAAGAGCTCGCTTGAAAATAAAAAAGCGATACTTGAATATTAAATTAATTTCGAAATTTTTGAGTGAAAATCTATTTCCATAGATTTCCAATCTTTAATTTTTCGTGGCTTCGTGATTGCGAAGTCTGTGAAATTCTCGTCGCGGAAAATCGACTTGAGATTGCTGGAAAATCCGTCATCAAAATCCGATAAGCTCGTCGTATCAAGCGCCGAGAAGAACTCATGGACGTGGAGTTCTCCGCGTTCTCCAGCGAAAACGGGGACGTGTGTGGAATGGGAACATCGCCGACAAAACTCGGCGTGACGTATACGCTAAAGTTTACAAAAAAAAAAAAAAAATAAAATAAAAAAAAAAAAAATAAATAAGAAGGGGAAGGTAATGATAACAAAGCGCATGCCATGCGTTGTGGACTAACATCTAAGAACCCAGGCATTGCGGCGACGAACAGACATAAAAGAGAGACGTAAAAAGATCTAGGTCGAAGACCTCGTCACATCGAGATCGATCGCCGGTGTTTTCGCGCGAGCCTTGCGGGGGGAGGCGATCAATGCGTATGTGTGTACGTGTGGGTAATACATATGTGTACAGGCACTTGAGGTAAAAGACCGCCCGTTCCGGATACGACCAGGCCTTCGAGACCGTACCGCGCTCCTTTTGTAGTCTCTTATTCAGGAATCGAAATCGTATAATTTCGCCGAGCTCAATTTTCGAAGTGAAAGAATAGAAATGGAAAAATGTACCTTATACCGATTGTCGCGCCGGTCCATTGGCCGGAATAACTTACTCAGCAAGAGAATGAAAGTGAGAAAACTCAGTGAGCTTTCTAACGTTAACGATAGTTCAAAGTAAAACTTTGAACTTCTTTTTAGTTAGTTTGCAATTTTATAATTAAAAACCACCTTCGCTTTATTATTGAAAAATTGTATCGTAATTTATTATAGGATTATTGCTATTTTTAGATATGAATGTTCTCTAGCTTACTTCACGCAACGTTAGAGCTGTAATTTGCGTGTATTTCGCAAACGAAAACTAAACGGGAAATTCGATCTCGATTCCTTATCTCTCATCGCCCGAGATTAGTGAGATTAATCACGACAGTGGTTACTAGTGATAATTACGACGGCGGTGATGGCGGCTACTGCCGGCAGCGGCGGTTATGAATACGTAAGAGCTACGGCGATATAATAAATTTATAATTAATATATAATTGTAAATGTAATAAAAATCGTAATAAATTGTAATGATCGCAACACACAGATCATGCGCACACTAAACACGTATTTCAAAACTAGTCAAGCGAAACTAATGACTGAATAAGTTCCCAAAAAAAATAAACGTTATGGAAAAAAAAAAGAAAAAGAGGTAAATCAAATAAAGGGCAAGAAGAGAAGAGAGAAAAATCAGACGCAATTTTCATACAAAATCAACCAAACTAAAAAGTTAACTGCCAGTCGTGTGAGTCGTCGTACTGCGGATTCTTCCGGTTTTTGTCTCGCGATTAATCGTAGAACCCGATCGTAGAATTATTCCTCATTCGCGAGAGATTTCAATTCCGAATGAATAATTCTTGAAGAATATATATTATACCGATTTGATATTATCTTATCTTATTATTCTACAAAAATGCAGAAATGTAGCTAGGAATATGCTACGAGATAGCAAAGTAGATGACAGCGATTTAACTTTTGCCACGTAAAAATGCGAAACGCTACCTCTGAAAGTATACCAATTTTTTTTCGCCGCATCACAATTTCTTTATTTATTTGTCTCTTCATGGTCAAATCTATTCTCACGTTGGATAAGATCGGGTTCTAGGATTAAAGTTCTTAGGATCTTGTGTGCGTGACGCGACTTCCGCTCGCTCGTGTGAAATTCTTTGCCTCGTAAAAGAACATCGCGCGAACTGTGGATATAAATATTTCGACTCTTACGAAGAGGAAAATGTCCAACAATGTTCCTTGCCTCTTAAGGCCTCGATAAAAACGGATTTTTTTTTTCCCCGTAAAGGCAAGTACCGTCATTGTTTTATTGTTTTTTTTCGCGTTTTATAACTTTATTAATTTTTTTTTCTAACTACTATGATGGATGATCTGCGAGTATCTGAGTACTTCATCACAATCGTAATTTTCGTAATCGCTCAATTATTCTTCTCCCATTCTTTTAATTCCTCTATAAATCTTAATTATTAAATTTGTTAAGTTCCTCTCGTAAAAATCAGATCGCAAAGGATGTAAAAAAAAGTCTAGTCTAAAAATACTTTCGACACATACTAAATGGGCCAACTCAGTAGACAGCTTGAATGCTCCAATTGCAAGTATTCAATACGGGACACGATTATAACATTCGTATTCGTGCGTGATTTACGAGTCGCTGCGATTTCAATCGCGGCTGTTCGTTTCCTTAATATCGATTATATCCTTCCTCTTCGTCGCTGAACTTTGCGCGTGAATAGTCGACAATTTGGGGCAGTGGCACTCTTACACGATTCACCAACTTATAGTCTCTTACGCTTATAGACATACCTATCCGATAAATCATTAATTTATGTTTCGTAGCCAACATATTATATATATATATATATATATATATAGGGAAGCACATTCTCTTCTCTTTTTACCTATCGCTATAATATACCATACAAAAGTTCGTAAACTGCAAAAGTTGACGAAGCGTAGTCGTGACTTATATATCTTAGCTCCGTTTAAAAGTGAATATATGATCTGACTTTAATTATAAGAAATAGAAATTACAACGCGCGAAATAATTGGTACAGTACGTTATTCGTTTTGGTCACGAATTTTCCCTGCAATGCGAGGGAGGCCAGTATCTTTGCGCACTGTAGCACCCGTCTCTTACAGAAGTCTCACCAAAGTGCAGCCTTAACTTATACTTTATACTTAGTGAAAAGAGAAAATGAAAGATAACGTACCAGTACGTTTTCATACTAACACGCAGTGAGCATTTAACAAATCATACGTATAAATACAGTTCCGCATCGCGGCTTTTTTCACGCGTCCTTTCCTCCTTACAGAAGTCCCACTTAAACGCTACCTCTCATTTCCTTCGGAATGTATATATTTCGGCGGCAATCGATTTACTTTAAGTTCCTCGTTGTCGACTGTTTTAACTCTAAATAATGGATGTATCAATGAAACAACGACACAATCGTGTACAAATGTATACGTACAAATGTCCCGCGATTAACTCTCGCCGTCGTGTTTCGTGCACGAAATCTCCTTTTCTCAATACACGCTTTCGTATCCCGAAAATTCACCTAAGGATAAGATTCGATCAGATTCGAACGAAACACGCACGAGTGTCGCATGAAATCACGAATGCGGATATACTATATTAATGGAGCGCGCGTGTGTGTGTGTGTGTGTGTGAGTGAGTGAGTGTGTGTGTGTGTGTGTGTGTCACTTTCGTCCATCGTGGTGTCTCGCTTGTACTTGTCGGCCTCGCGAGTTCTCGCCTCGCTTCCTGCGAATCGCGTGCGTTCACGACGGAGGGAGGATTTAGAGCGCGAGGAGCAAATATTCCTGACGGCGACTCTAAATGGCTAGAGATAGGAGCATTACTGCTGCGGTAACGGCGGCCACGACGGTCTTGCAAGTATCACCAGCATTACTGTAGTCCACAGTCATGCCCGTAGATTCTGAATGGATAAAAAGGCTCTATGTAATAAAAGAGAGATCTTGCCCGCTCCAGCTATCGATATCGTCGTCGCGATAAAACATTTTTTAACAAGTCTCTACAAGCCCGCCGACGGTCACCGGGTAACTTTAGCTTAGTCGATGTCTTGCGTAGGGTCAAGGGATTTGAGGACTTCTTCAAATCCCGTAATCTTGATTAACGCCAGAAAGCCCGAAGGCTTGCTACTTTCGCAAAAATATCTTCTATTCTGCGTAAAATAGGGGACAAGTTATATAATGTAACATAGTAAATTATTTACGTAAATTCATATCTCAAATATTAATGCAAAATCTATTTGGTCTTATGAAACATGCGTTATACCCGGAAAAATAAAAAGTTTAATACACATATATATATATATATATATATATATATATACACTCATAACATCATACTAAATGTAATAACTCTTTTTTTGTCGTTTTACATTCTACTGCTAGAATATTAATAATAAGTTTATAAAACTCTACTATTTAAAATGAATTTGGCGCTAAAGTTCTTAGCGAGCAAAATAACCATTTAGGCCTTTCTGGCGATTACAAGATCGTTCCGTCGACAGAACCAATTAGAAAATTAGAGAAAATTAATAATATAAAAAAAGAAAAAAAAAGATAGCTTAACTGAGTGGAAACCTCCTAGGTGAGGAAACGAAAAGCCTCAAATAACCCTTTTCCCTCCCCTTTGAATGAACAAAAATAGGGGCGACAAACTGACAAACGATTTGAAGATCGCGAAGAAAAAAATATTCGGTGCAATAGCTTCGTGCACATATAAATATATATATTTTAAAGGGAATTATATATCTCGAGTAGAAATCATTACGAGAAATAATATAGATACGTCATGACAATAATTATATTGGATCGAAGGAACACCGAGAATTAATTGCGGAGGACTACTTACCTTTTGCCGTTCTGAATTTGACATATCCAGGTTTGCTGAAGCCCATAATGTTGTGAGCCCGCAATTCGACCATGTAGTAAGCGTCAGGTTTCAGATTCTTCAAATATTTCCTCGTCCTGCCTGGGGTTTTAACAGGTGTTGTTTCGCAAGTATTTTCCAATACTTCCCACTCGCCAGAGACGCGTATTATTTGGCAATATTTGATCTCGTACATGTCTATGGGTTCGCCATTGTCGGCCGGTGTTACCCAGCTGAGCTCGTACTGGTCATTGAACTGCGACTGCTCATATAGATTAGAAGTTGTTCTCACAATCCTCGGATCTTGCGGCGCCATTCTGCCCGGTGTAGTTTCTCGATAATAGTTACCCCAATTACCCAGACCGACTCGATTCCTCCCCGCGAATCGGAATTCGTAGGGGGTTTGTGGTTTTAAGCCTTCGATCACGTATAAAGAACCTAAAGAGCATGACATTTAGTTATTACGAATTAAAACGCTTAAAATATGTTAAAAGCTATAAATATAGTAAATCATTCTATTTGTCATCATTTCTATATTCGCGACTAAATGCCATTGTAAATTTCAAATTAAGAATTTTATTTTCTCACTTTATATCCTAATAAATAAAATTAATATTCTATTATTTAATTCATTATTTACTCATATAAGAACGATAAATATTGCGACAAATTTTACAGAAATATTAAAACTCAAACTTAATTATTTCAAATAATTCATTAAAATTAAGAAAAAAATATGTAGACTTACCGACAGACCACGTCCTGTTCATCGCGTTTTGCCAAATCTCGTTATCCGTTTTGTATTGCACATCGATAGTCGTGACAGCCAAATCCGGATCCATGACGGGCGGTACTAAATCGAATGTTATTGTCGTAGCAGTGACCTCGGTCATCTTGACGTTCAAGAACTCTTTGGGTTTCGTCGCTTCCCTCAGCTCTACCGAACGTTCCCGCGTGCCATGAGTATTCATGGCAATGCATTTATAACGGGTGTAATATCTGTTGTCCGTCGGTATTATCCTGAGGATAGAGGTCGGTCCATTGCCGATCTGTTTGATATGATCGTCGCCTTCGATACTGTGATCTTGTATAGTCCAGCGTATCGTCGCGTTTGGTATGCTCTCGGCAATGCAGGTGAGATTCACCGGTTTCTGATCCCAGGACCAGAACGTCTTGTTCGGCATGCTGCGGAAGGTGGGCGGAAACTCGACGGTCAAATGACCATTTTTGAAAGTAATGCCACCCTTATTTTTAGCTATACACTCGTACAGGCCGTCATCGAGGGTGAGAGCGTCAAAGATTGATAGAGTGCCGACAGTCTCGCCGGATACGTCATTCGCATCATTCTCGACGACGATTCGGTCATCTTGCGGTTGAGCGCCTATCACGTATTGCTTATTACCGGTTCCCGACTGCTTTCTGAAGGTCACCTCGGGCGGTGGTCGGCCGAAGGCCTTGCACTTGATTTCCGCGCTTTTTTTCTCCACCACGGTCACGTTCAGGAACTCCATTATTTTCGGCTTGACGATCACGTTTACCTGGATATTGGTGGTGGCGATGCCGGCGGCATTTATCGCGGAACATTGATATTCGCCCGCGTCCTCGCGATTCACGTTTGTAATAGTAAGTACACCAGTGACGGGATCGACGCCGAAGCGATCGGCGTTGGAAAGATTCTGTTGTGTGAGAGACTTGATCCACGTGAACATTGGAGGCGGTTTACCATTGGCTTTACATCTGATATTCGCATTTTCGCCTTCGATGATATTTACCGGGCTTGGAATCTCTTCGATTGTGGGTCGTACATGTACCTAAATAATAAAAAAAAAAAAAAAAATTTTAAATACAAAGGTCAAGGTTAGAAGATGTAATAAATATAATACTAACTGGATGATAATCTGTTAATGGAAGCAAAATCAAACATTATAATAGCAGTATGATAAAAAGATATGATGATAATATCTCAGCTTATCGAAAAGTTCATACAATTTCTGAAATAATTTATGATCTCCACACATATTTTTTTCAATGCAATTTAAGAGATATCGTGATATTAATGCAGTTACCTCAACGCGAATAGCTCGCTCTTTCAACTCTCCTGTGGTCTGCACTGATGCGCGACACGTGTATATGCCATCGTCAGACTCTTGAACGTTCTTGATCTTCAAGGCGTAAGTGTTTATGACATAATGGTCATTCGTCTTGATCAATTCTCCGTTGTGAAGCCAGTCGACCGAAGGCGATGGTCTAGCGCGTACTTGACACTGAATATCGAAGTCCTCTCCGAGAATAGGATACTGATTTTGCGGTGCATTATCCCATGTAATCGCAACTGTTGATAACAAATCGGAAGTTTTGTTTGGGAAAAATATTGGGTCTCGATGGGTGTGGGTTATCGCAAAGAATATTACTTGATATTTTGAATTTAATAAAAATAAAAATTTTTATTTTAAATAATATATTTGTAAAATGTCAAAAAGTCCAACTAAAACGAAAGATCTGTCATTTCATTTATACCGTTCTTGTCTGAAAAAGCATTAGCATGCAATTTCCAATAAAATTTTAATAAAAAAAAATAATTCTACCATCCGTTTATATAAATTTATATGCGTTACATAAAATTTTCAGACCGCCTCAAAATCGCGCCTCGATGGCGATGAATTAATTAAACATTATTCCGATATATAATCTCGCCGAGGGGGGTCTATTTTATTCTACATCGAAATAATTTCGCACGAAAACGTTAAAACGTGACAGGACTTTCAATTCTATACTCACTAATGGTATCGATTGTCACGCTCTTGCTTAACGCGACGTTACGCGCATAAGTCCCCTTGCACGTGTATTTCCCGGCCTCGCTCTCCTGGAGGGAATTAAAGAACAGGGATAGACTGCCATCCTGATGCAATTCGGTGTACATGGCCGGCTTCGTCGTACCGTACGTGCTGCGGGGAACAACGTCACAATTTGCAAAACAGTATTCGTAATATTCGTCCGAGGCACACCAACTGATGATAATGATCCATGACATTGCATCGGCGATATCGCGTTTCATACATGATCTTCGCGGATGATGCGAGGGGGGGGGGGGAGGAATGATGGACGCGTAAATGACAACGAGATGATCATTCACGTGATATTATCCCGCGGTTATTATTCAATGTTGCGCAATATGGCATGGCGGCGTATCGGC